AAAGAGGCTATAACAATGCGAACAAGAAATTACATGAAGAAAGTCGTCTTCTGGGTTTAGGCGCCGTGTATTCTTCGTTTTGGCCGACGTTTCGGAGGATCGTATCGCCTCCACCTTCAGAGCAGTTGAATGGCTTGGAATGCAGAGAGCAGCAGCTACTGCTCTGAAGATGGAGGCGATACGATCCTCCGAAACGTCGGCCAAAACGAAGAATTCACGGCGCCTAAACACAGAAGACGACTTTCTTCATAGTCATCGCCGTGAAAACCTCAAAACTTACAAAGAAATTACGTTTGGCAGAAGAAAAATATTTGGACATGCCTCTCGAAAGAAGTTTATCATATAAAGCACAGTAAATGTATGGAAAATAAAGTAATATAATACTTTCTAACGCTCTACTCCGTCTTTAAACGTACGATGTAGAACACTTAACAGGAAACTAATACTCGTTTATAAGTCCCATTCTATTGTGTGGACATTCCGCACGGGGTTACACAGCCACAAGTTATACAAAGAAGCTGCAAGTCACTCAGAACAATATAATCTGAATTATCTATGTTAATGAAGTATACTCCTATTTTTCAAAAGTGACCAATCCTCGTAATTTAGGGAGTTGACATGTGGACCGAGAGGAAACAGTCAGGGCCCCGAGTTTTGAGAAGTCCTTCTGCTAAGTTAGTTGTTTTCCCACTCAAGAACCATCAGGACGTCAAATTTGCACACACCCCTCCCCAAAATTTGTGGACTTACTACTCATAAAGTGTTCTAAAGTATAAGCTGTGTGTCATAAAGTGTGACTGAAAACGTAAATTAAAGTTAAGTGGAATTTATAATATAGGGGGTTATATTTGAAAGCCAGTAAACAGTTCAGTAATCGCAAGGCAATCAGTGTATTACTCAATTTAATAAGCAAGTGTAACCAAGTAATTCCAAGGCAATCTACATTAACCCAGTAGGAATAAAGTGTCTTGGTGTACAATGTGTGTGTGTATGTGTGTGCGTGCGTGTGCGTGCGTGTGCGTGTGTGTGTGTGTTATAACAGGAGTTCCCAATCCCCTTCCTGAGCGGGACCCTGCCAAACGACCTTGAGAACAGAACCTAAGCTCGGCTGACAGAACTAGCCAGCAGAACCAACGAACGCTACGCCCCACCCCCAATCAATCCTTCACACCTTTCATAAATTTGTAAACTGATAGTATCAGTTTACTGGCGCCAAACTAAACCCATTGCACTAAAGATCAGAGGTGTGTAAGTATGATAAGTGGAGCAGCGTAAAGCCAGCTGTAGCCGCCACCACCAATAGCAGCCCAGCAGCCAGCGGCCGGTGACGACATTGAATGAAGTGGAAAGCCAAAGTGGAGGGGTTATACAGAACTGGCGACCAGCAGTGAGCCGAGAAGAGGGCAATGGGTATATTATCTGCAATCCAGCAGTCCTGTCTATAAAATAATTCTGATGTATTCACTGCTTTATAAACACAATGTTCTGTATGTTCGTAATTTGAAGCATGAGATAAAATAAGAAATACTTATACATGCTCCAGAGCAATATATTTATCGAAGATTAACAATTCTTCCTGAGAACGGAGATACTTCTTCTTCAATATTATAAGGAATTAGTTACTATAAGAAGGTCCTTTCAATTTTTTTCTTGGTTCTTTTCAGAAACTCTTCGGAAATATCCACCGGTTCAAAACTTAAACCGTGAATGTACCAAAGCCTACAAAATACCTGACACGGACATTGTTCTGGAGAAGGGAATCTTGACGGTTATACCCGTCTTTGCCCTTCATCACGACCCTAAGTATTATCCTGACCCTGAGAGATTCGACCCGGAGAGATTCAGTGAAGAGGAAAAGGCAAAGAGGCAGCACTACGTGTATCTGCCCTTCGGAGAGGGTCCCAGGATATGCATAGGTACGTTCAGTCTATCGAAATATTATGTTACCATTCGTATAAGAAAAGCCAGTAAATTGGAGGTTACTGGTGCCAGCACAGTTAGATCAATAACGTGACAGTTGCATAGCATGCACTTTGTATTGATTTGGTGTTTTCATTGAATTGTGTTCTGCTTTCCTGAGCAAGAGGCACAGTACACTCGAGAAATTAATATAATCGTGAGCTTCGTAATTTAAGCTCTTAATTAAATATTGTCAGGATAATTAATACTGGAATAATGAGATGAGCAAGATTACAGTATTAAAGGTAAATGTAGGGAAATTTACTCAGAAAGCTGAAATATAGTAAGAGACCTGTACAAATCTGCGTGCATAATTCGGATGATTCTTAAATAAATAATGCACAATGATGACGACTAGAAAGAGATCCCAGTGACAGGCGACTGTGAAAACGCCAACGAAACTTTCAACTTCCGTAATTTCATTAGCAAATTAATTACTCCTGGCCTCTCGGGGAGGATACTGTTGCGTCGATTAAGTTTCTCGGTTATGTATTACCTTCTAATATAAGCAATGCTCTTGCTTATTAGTTAATTAAGTTTACCCGCCATGGCAAAATGCCTACTTTTGTTACAGAAATTTACATATAGTTAAAGTTTATGAATATTATATATTTAACAAATTATAACCTTCAGTCTTAGCGCCACAACCCAATTAAAATTATGGCTCCATGTAATGTTAGAACCTACTCAGTCATACGTCAAAGTTCCCTTCTTCGGGGATCAGTTCTTCGGGGATCAGTTCTTCGGGAATCGTATCTCTTGATGGAAAGTACAAAGTGCAGAAAGACGTGAGAATTTCGTTGATGCTCCCGTCTGGACTCCTGATTGTAATCATAGCTGAAGAGCTTATTCAAACTACGGAGCGGCACTCATTTCTTACGGAACTCTAATTTTCTTTTCCAGGAATGCGGTTCGGTCTGATGCAAACCAAAGTGGGACTTGTCTCTCTTCTGTCCAAGTACCAGTTCATTTTGAGTAAGAAAACTCCGGTTCCATTGGTCATGGATACGAAGACAATAATTTTATCACCTGTTGGTGGAATGTGGCTGCAGATTAAGAACCGCGCTGATTATAACACTGTTATTTAATTTGGGACACTAATGTTACAAAAGAAATTATTTTAAACTTAACTAAAATTCTGAGACAATTGGCTTATCACAACACAAATACATTTTGTGCTGAATTTGTTCATTGTCTGGAGTGCGTTTAAGATCCATATTCACACATTTGTAGACGGTAACGGGGCCAGTTTCCGAAATTATGTTTATTTTAATTAATAATGTCCAGCATTTTTTCTACATTTCTTTCACGTTCACTCTTTCCATAAATAAGGTCTTAAATAACCTGTCAGTTATATCCAAGGGAGACAGAGCGGCAAGGATATGTGTATATCATAATGGTACGAACGTATAACGCATTATCATTTTTTCTTCATAAGGAAAATAAAGAAGCCGGTCACGGTAACCCAGCGGTCTAAGACATGTACTGTCTTCGCTCGCTTGTAAACTGGGATCCTGAGTTCGAATCCCACTCAGGGCATGGATGTTCAGTTTGTGTGTTTGCGTATTTTCGTGTTTGTGTACAGGTAGAGGCCTTGCGACGAGGTGATCACCCGCCCAAGGAACCCTACCGAATGTGTAAGATCTAGAAAAACCGAAGTGAACGGAGAAGTTCATGGAGGTAGGCCTAGGCCCACTGGGGCTGTAGTGCCAAGGAAAAAAGAAGATAAATAAAGTAAAGTTATTTATTATTTTAGCCGCAACTACATGGAAACGAACGGTGGAATGACAGTAACACACACATTCGTTAATATCTCTATTATGTGCAGGTCAGTGGTCACTTCTGTATTTGCCTTCGGTAAAAAATGGCTAGAACACTGGAGAGAGCCAAAACCCATCTGTACATCTTGGATAAGAGAAATATTCAGCCTGCACTTAAGTGCTTTACCGGCTTAAGTACACTTAGGAGAGATTCGGAAATGAAAGCCTCAATTACTAGACCTGAGCTTCACATGACACACAGACAAATGATTCATCACCTCAATAATGTTAAGGTAACCGTCACATCATGTGACAAGCACAATATCAAGTGAGGAGGAAATTCCACTCCCAATTAGTAGCTAAAAGCTTTAAGTACCTTATTAATTCCAGATTTTATATGCTGTTTTGTTATGTATTCTGTAGCTGAGTCTCCTATATACTCATGAATTAGTCAGTCAGTCAATTTGCTTATAACTCCAGTTGTTGCACACAGTTACTGCCAGATTGTGTTCTCCCTGTTACTTCCATTTAGTTTCTTGGTTTATGTAATTTCTTTCTGTTATAGGCAGCAATGGATGAACACTTCCGTATGCTTCTAATAAAGTTGTATCTAAAAGTACGTGGATATAATTATAGTTACCACATTAATTCAGCGTAATTACATTTAGTACCCTGATCCTAAAGCATTTATATGTAGCTGATTCCTACAAGTTCCTCAAGTATCCAGTATGCATCGTATCTTCGGCCTTATGGTTCGTATCTCAGCTTGTTGTTTTGTATTCAACTTGATTTTGCTCTGTCTGTGTGTTTCTGACCAATTCCTTCCATACTCAGAAGTCTGCATTATAAAATCTAGACTGTCTTCAATTTTTATTCGTGTTTGTATATACGAGAATTCAGCATTCCTATCCAGAAAGGTCAACACATAGCAGTTAGTGCAAATACAATATCTTAAATATCGTACTCGCACTCGTTAACCTGGCTCAGACTCCATGACTTTCTCGTATATTGTCATTTAGGGGTTTCCGTGACAAATAACAGGGTTTTGATTTTGAGGAACGAATCTCTAGAACTTTATACAACTGGTTTCAACAGTTCAGAAATCACTATTTGACACAATATCATCTTCCTACTGGACATTCCGGGGGAACTACTCTAACTTCCAACTGAACTGTCAAGTCAAAGTCAAAGTCAAAGTCACATGCCAACTGACGGTCAGTCAGCCAGTGAGTTTTGGTGTCCAGCCCTATCTGGTTTTCATGACCAGATATTTATTAGTGTCTGACAGTTGCGGTCTTGTTTTTGTGGGCGCCCTCTCTGACGAGATGACGGGTCTGTCTTTTGTCAGAGTCATTGTCAGTAGTAATAAGCCATTTGCCATAATGTAAAAGATATTTACATTTTAGACGTTAAGCACGAGAAAAAGTGTATTAAATATACAGAGTCTCTGTCAGTCCAGGATCAGTACGGCAGATTATGCCCTATTTCTAGTAGCTTCTGCTACAACGGCAATCTAGTCACTTGAACGGTCATATGCTTGACCGCCTCCAAGTTTAAGCCCCTTTTACTTTCAATGTCGGGCTTCGCCTTGTCCAATATTGCGAACACTCATTAACATGGTTTTGTATGACGTCCGCTTGTTGCCCGCATAATTTTTTACATATTTTTATACGTACGGAATTTTGAAAGCCATGCGTAAATCGCGAACTGTTGTGTGCCTTGGAAAATTTCCAATGGTGCAGAGAGCCTTGTTTTTTAGGCGGTGCAATTTCATTAGATGGGTGTCTGCCGCATAAGTCATTACAGATCTAATGGGAGCTTTGTGGAGGGACAGTTTAATGGTAGCGTTTAATCGCTCATTTTTGAATAGGGAATATAATCTTATAAAAGTTCTGAAGGCTTTGATTTCGATCTCTGAAAATTCCATTACCATGATACGACAACTGAAGAATGAGAATCATAGTGCGTGTGTATCGGTGAACTGCAACGTATGTACTACATCACAAATAACGATTTATCACCTGCGATCCCGAATTGTCAATGTATAAGGCGCAATAAATCCATTCCCCCAATCCAAATCCCCGTCTTATAAGTCACCCCCACACATGACGTTATATTTTTAAATCATCGTTTGTTTAATATTGTATCATAACGCCCGAAAGCCAGAATATCGAAGTCAGATGAGGCGTTAATTGCTGGTGAAAGGCTCGGCATACACGTTCCGGCGGAGACAAAACAACATGACAACGTCATTGCTGGGACAGCAGATTCTTGGTATAAACACGTTACTGGGTGACGCAAAAACATTCCCGTGGAATGTGAAAAGAAGACTTTATGTGGGCTGCACTGATAGTGAGACTCTTATAAATCCATTGCCAGGAAACGACTAGTGAAGATTCAGAACCCTAGCGAATGTGTAACTGTAAACTGTAAAGTTCTTAGATCATCAATATCACTATATTACTTGCGGTTACGAGTTGGGGGTATAAGGGCAATAAAATCGATCATTCAATCCAAAAACCGTATTAAAGTCTCACCCCTGTAATGGGACACTATCATTGACAGCATCTCATATTTACCGATGATTAATAAGGAATTGCCGATCACAGTGGCCGCGCGGTCTGAGGAATGAAGTGTCTTCGCCAGCACCAACACTGGGATTGTGGCTACGAATCCCACTCAAAGCATGGAAATCTTTGTTTGTTTTTTTTTTTGTTTTTCTTTAGGTAGAGTCCTTGCGACGGGCTGATCCCCCGTCCAAGGAGTCCTGCATACTGAAATTAAATGAAGCGATTGACGAATGCCGTGTGCTCCAAGAGGGAGCAACAGGAATCGAGGAAGAGATTATTTAAAGGGCAACTTGGTTCAAGCAGTTACCATTTCGACTAGTATTGGTCTAATGCCGAGTAGGACACCCGTTGTATTCAGGATTTTCGTAGAGTTTCTCAGTCGCTCCAAGGAAATGGTTTAATAACATCTCAAAGAAGTCGCAAACTCTTTCCTTCGTATGCTTTCCGATTCAGTATTCACTGATAACAAACCCGTTTCGACGTGGAGTATCTGAGATGCTGAAAGCGCCAATTAATAAACCGCAAATACAGAGAAATCGGTAATCAGAAAATTATGATTAGGAAAGGTTGTGGAAGAAATACAAATTTAGGTATCATTCCGTTTTACCTGTAAGGAGAGAGATGGAAGACTGCAATCAGGATATCCAGTGTCCGGACCGAGATGTTAACCCAGCACCTCCCAGATACGAAGCAACAATTCTACCAAATTGACCGCGACATTCCGTCCTCACATTATCCTCTCCAATACGCATTGTTCTCCCAGCAGGCTTTTCCATTCAGATTAGAAGACAAATACTTTGAAGGCATTTCTTACTTCCATCACTCGAATACTCCGCAGTACGCACTGATATGCTGTTATTTCAAACAGTTTCTTTTGCGAATGGTAACGTAGGCTTCTCCAATGCTTGAGCAGGGGGAGGCAACTGGAATAGGGGAAAGGGAAACACGGTAACTACTGCCTCTACGAATGACTTCAAAAACTTCACGCAGGTCTCGACCAATCAGAGAGCCTAAACAAACCAATTTGAATACCCATAATTACTTGCGGTTATCGTGGTGCATTATATGGAAATTGGTAAGTATGAATGTTGATTTCATGTGGTTGCGAAACGAAAGTAGACATTTGCGAACGAAATTACAGCTCCATATTAAACATATTATTTGTGTATATTAATGTTATGCTTACTACCACAAATGGAATTAGAAACATACAGAATTCTTTCAAGCCTAAAATTTTTGAGGTTATCATCAACTGTCATCTAAATGATATTTTTTTNATATTTTTTTGATATGTTATGCAATTTTCGGTTTATCCCAGAGATTGTCTGTTGAATGTGAAGGAGTTCTAAGAGTACCGTGACGGTGTTATAATTTTTGTATTGATTCTTGCAGCATAAAAATGAGGACAGAAACTTGTGTTGCTACTGCATGCTTGTCATCCAGCAAGGAAGGCATAAGATTCTTCAGTTTTCCAAGGGATCCAGCACGGTATGTCTGTTTGAATTCATGGTGTAATCACTATGTGTTGCTTAATCCAATGTCTTGGAAAATACATATAGAACAAACTATACCTAAATTAAGTGCAGCTTGCTATGCAATGAGATCGAGTAAGCCCTTTATGCCACAGGAAACACTGAAGATGGTTTACCATGCCTACTTTCATTCTATTATGAACTATGGATGAATATTCTGGGGGAACTCTTGACATAGTGTAAAATTTTTTAAGATACAAAAGAATATAATTAGCATCATTACAGGACATAGAAATAGAGGTTCATGTAGAGATTTATTTAAGAAATTAAAAATTCTACCTCTTCAATCACAATATATACTATCGCTTCTCTTATTTGTTCTGTACAAAAAAAAATAAATTTGAATTAAATTCCAAATTCCAATATCCATAACAGGAATACTAGACAAAAATATAACTTCCATCTACCTTCATCAAACTTATCACTATATCAAAAAGGAGTCTACTTTTCTGGCATAAAAGTGTACAATAGTCTCCCACAAAGTATCAAAAACTTGAGTAATGATACTAAACATTTTAAATCAGAGCTAAAGAAATATCTGCATGCTCATTCCTTCTACTCTGTAGACGAATACCTCAATGTAAATAGAGAATAATGTAGAGTTAAGCTATATTAGTTTAAGATAAAATTACTTGTACCAGTAGGTATTATTTTGACT